AACTGATGATGATGGCTAAGCCATCGAAAGCTGCTCTTATAGTAAATACTATTGTTGGCAATGACAACATTTATAATTATTTCATTTGAGTTCACTGCCTAAAATTCCAAATAAAGGAATTAAAAAGGTAGTGTTATTGGACTTATCATAAAATATTAAAGAAAGAAAGAGAGAGAATTATACTTCTGAAATATATGTAAACCATGTGTGTATGCGTAGAGTTCATAAATATTCATGAAGTCCTGCATAAATTAATTGTGGGACGGAATCTTACACAAGACCTTTTCATCATATGAATGTTTCTATGTATATATATGAACTGATAATTTGATAAATAAAAATTAGTGATCTAGCAAACGTTAATAAATCAATTTTTGTATTAAAAACTTTCAAAACATAATAACCATTAAGTTGTGTTTTTTTTTGTAGGATGGTGATTTTATAAATGTGGAACGAAGTACAGATTGGATTTGGGATTGGAGTAGCAGACCAGATCAAGTCCCACCAAAGTATGTTGCATCAAGACAACTTTTTTTGATATAACTTTAAAATAACCAAAACAATTTTAAGTACAGGAATCATTATAGTATACAGTAATGTTTTAATCAAGAAAAAGTACACACTCCATGCAAATATTTCTTTATATTCATAAGCAAAGGTGTGAATAATTCTAGTAGTCTTATGTATAATAATTCTACTCTTGATTTGTTATGTAATGTAGTGAGAATGATCTTGAGAATATTTTTATTTGTTTTTGAAATTTGTAAATATTCACGAAAATATCTCGTGTATCCTTGTAAATCCGTAATATGTAAATCCTTACACTGTACAGTTCAAACTTTGCAGCAAAACAAATATTTTTCAAGAATCAAATCAAAATGTTAGGTTGTGATATTGCCCCAGTTGAGTGTTTATATCATTAGCAGAAAATACATTTGTAGAAAAAATGTTCTAGAAACAATTTTACATTATTTAACTATCATTTAAATTAAATTATGACTTCAAAACAATTATTCACAATTATAGTTTTTTCATCAAAATTTGTTAATTTTAATTTATTAATTTTTTTACACGTAAGTCTTGAGGCATAATATTTCACTATGATGGAGAATAATCACGTACCTATATATTTTTCGGATCTAAGAGATCATAAACTATGTTCTTCCTGTCTCGTCTAAATCTACGTGAAGTCAAGTCATTTGTGGAGGGGAAGAAAATCATCACCATTTTCTCCTCAATCCACACAAATCTTTCTAAAATCAATTTTGCTTTGAATTGCTTTATTTCTGCACAGCAGTTTCTTGATCATTCCCTTTCTGCAATAATGTCCAGAAAGTTGTGCTTGTGGTAAGTGAGGAGTTTCTCTGAGGAGAGTTCAAGTATTACCAAAGAATATTTTTTCTGGTACCAACAAAGAAAAACACAAATATGTGAATTGATGAAATTGAGGAACAAATTAAGTTAGTCCCATAACGTACGCAGCCCTGCGATTGCGTCTGATTTCATGCAGTTGGAACATAACCTTAGCTCACTAGCAGGTAGTTATAATTGCAGCGTACTTGCTGTTAGTAAATAATGCTACTCTCTCTTCCGAGAGCTCTTCAGGACTTGGAAATTCACAAAAAGTGTGTGTATGTGTGTGGGCATGTGTGTGTGTTTCTTTTCTTTCCTCTTCTTCATACATGTAATGTCTTAGTGCCAATAAGAGAATTGTCACTAATGACGTTTGTTGTAGGTTTGGTTTATTCGTTTTTTCTGTTCGTTGTAGCAAAAAATTGAATTGAATCAATTGATTTTTCACTATACATTTTATTATTTTTAAAGGAGCGTAGGAAAATTTAGGGATAACCTATGTTAAATGCACTCTTAATAAAGAATAGAAAATAAATTTACTTAGTGTACTACATTACTAGTTTTTGATTTACATCTTTGTTTTTAAATTGAGTGTTCTTTTATCAAAAAAGTGAAGTAATAATTCAGACATATCCTAATTTTATTTTTGATTAATATGTGTAAAAACATGTGCATGGAATTTCTTAACAAAAAAAAAATCAGGAGACTTGGAGGAATGCAATGGATCTATTGAGAACCCCAGTGTGGATATAAACACTCCTAATTAACCAATTCAGTAAATCCCAATAATTTTTTGTATGTTTATAGGGACTGGAAATTCAAGCACCCAAAGAGGAAAACTTACAGCATCCGTCATGCTAAAGTTGGCAAGAACAGCCTCTTTTCAAAAGAGGTTCTGTATACTCTGTTTCTTACAAACTTCATATCTTTGCTCCTGGGCACTGGTGTTGGGTATGTATTAAAAGCATTACCAGTACTGCCAGCAAGGTGGCATGGTGTTTATTAGTACTTTCCTTTTTTAATTATAGTTAGCATTGTATTTCAGTTTTAGTTTATAGAATTTATTGGAAATGTTCTATCAAAAATTTCAATTCTTCATATCTTCTATTCCATCTTGATAGCAATTTTTAATGGTTAGTGATCAACAGCTCTTGATTCTTCTTAGCCCTATTTCCAATACCAAACTTCTATCACTGCCTATAATGTCAATGTATGTATACTTGAAGGTTGTTTTTACATTTACTTAAGGTAATATGTTGGGTATCCACAGCGAAGTACTCTCAAAAAGTACTTTAAATGAAAGTCAAAGCTTTGCTGAAGATAGTAAGAAAAACATTTTTCCCTTACCAGCCTAATTTTTTAATAAAATAAGTTTACATTAATTTAGGTTCTTATGGAAAAACTTTCGCATGCATATATTTTTTTAAGATATTGAAGAAGTTACTAAGAGAAAGTACCATTTTCTTTTATTCAATAGTGGTACAAAACTTTTAAGAATCAGATCATATTAAATGTAACATACCACACTCATGATAATTGATAAATAACTGCTGCAAAATTAATCGCAATTGGAAGTACTGGCTCTCAGCCTAGGAGTTGTACTGTACAAATCATACTATTCTCAGCACTTCGTGTACAAGTGAAAACCACCCTAATTTAAAATGTTCCACGCATAACCACAAACCACGTGACGATAATTTACATTCAGTGTAAATAATGTGGACTAATATTCAATGCAGAAAGAATGAAAAGTACAGGTGCCAAAGTCAACCTAACCTATATTAGATATTGCCAAGTTATGAAAAATGATTCTAAAGACGAAACATATTTGTAAACTTTGTTTTTCTAGAGCAACAATTCAATACTTCACTTTTAACTATTTACAAATAATTATTTCAAAGCTCCATTTACGTTTACAAACAGCTATTGTTAATCTCCAGATGTAATAAGTGGTTGAGTGCTTGACTAGCAACTGGCGCGAGCACACCACATTAAAGCCAATTTGAAGAGAACTAATGATGCTACATCATAAGCACACATTTTCTCACATTGTAATGTTTACATAAAATTATATTTGTATTACAATTTAATTTTAACAAACTCACTCTCATCACCAAAATTCTTGTAGTAATGCACACTCTGTCCCATTTCCTACCACCTTCCAAGACACGCTTCATAATGAAATTTGGCTAGTTTTGCTGTCAAGCAACAACAATCACTTTTGTAAATTCTGAATTTATACATCTAAGAACATTAAACTGAATTTGTTGCCTTGGTAAAACTGCTTTAAAACCTCTTCAGCTTCAAATTATTCAACTCTTGCCCTCATTAATAAACGTTTTCCAAACAATTCATAAACTACAAACAAAATGTAGAAAACAAAATTTAGAGAACATTTCCATTAACATGGTGGTTATATTTTGTTTCTGTACTAACGAATATTCTGTGTTTGATCAAAAAACTCTCATGTTTTTTTGGTCCTGTAATGGTATTATTCAAAATATCGTAGAAGAAATTTTGGTGTGAAAATTTTAAGAGAAAAATTTGAAGCAGTCTTTGAGAAAATTTTGTTAGAGGGTTTTCGAAAATGTCATTTCGCAGTCACTTGTGCTTGAAAACTTTGTAGATTTTGAGAAACATCGTCAAAGAAAATTTGAAGCTTTTGTGTCCACAAATGCATAAAATTATTAAGTATATTATTGAGGTAAGTATTAACCATTGCACAATAGATTCAAAACAAACATGTGACACAAACATATGACACAAACATATTTAGTGCATTCTGCTCTGCCAGTGCAAGGTGATTTTTCCCCAACAAATTTGACCAGTTTTTAGAAAATCTCTTTCACATTTTTTGGGAAATTGATACAATTTTACCCAAAATAACATGCATGAAAAGAGTGTACCTGAATGAAATAATTTTAAGTGCTATACTTTAAGAGTACAATACATTAAGAACAAAATCGCTACCTGGAATAGCTCTCTTGCTCTAATTAAGGAGTAGAAGTAAATTAAAAGAAAGTGGAACACTTTCAATTTTCAAAAACTGAAAAGTTATAATAAAAATAAGATTTTTACCATTTTTATAATTGCATGTCGCTCTATTTGTGAGAGAAATTTAAAGACAAAATGTGGGTCGTGTTTTTGAAATCATATAAAAAATGTGTTGCGAGCTTTTTGTAAAGAAACTACAACACACAAAGATTTTTATCAAATTCATAGGGCGTGATGAACCACATTGTTTCCAAAATATCCATTTTGGAAAGGATCCTATGTATGGTTAAAGGAGCTTGTATTAATTACAAATGGACGTATTTGTTTTTTGAAAAAGATTTTTGGCATCTGAGTCCAAAAATATGTATTTCTATCAAAATCAAATGTGGATTGAAACCAAAATTATGTATACATTTTGATATGTATATTATGTTGTCCTTGATGAATTAATTGTTAAATTTAAATTTATGACGTGTTCACTGAATGGTAATGAAAACGATCATTACACCAGTTTTAATCAATTCAGAATGTGGCTGTATGTACAGCATACAAAATTGTGACCTGTATCTTTGTCATTTTGATATATTGAACATGCTGCGTAAGATGTGCTATTACTGTATTTACCCGAATATAAGATAACCCTTTAATTTTGAAGAGACCTGAGAATTTTTAACTAATTATTACTCTTTAGTCAAAATAAAATTACAAAATGTCTTATTGACTAGAAAATTGCCTTGTTGATGAGTGTGTTAAGTGTTATTGCTGAACTATTATTTTCTTCTTCCTCAATATCATCATAATCGTGGTTTTTATCACTACCCTCATCATCTTCACATGTATCAATATTTAAAGCAACCTCTTTTGAAAGTTTTGCGGACCAAATTTGGCGTTCATAGTCTTTCATCAGACGCCGTCTAAGAACATTCCCTTCTGTTGTCAGATTTTCTATGTGTCGTCTTGATGGCTTCCCTCTTCAAAACGCAGATGCGTATTCGCGGGGCGTCGGATTGAGATTCCGGGCGGCCTCGTCGAGCCCGCATGGTTTATAACAAATTCTTATTACATTTTAGGCATTCATTTTCACGTAATGTTTCATTTGATGCAATGCCATTCTTTACCGGCCCTTTAAAATATCGGACTGAATTGCCCCGCAAATTCGCGGTGCATGCCCAGAATACGACGCGAATATAATTATACGTGTTGTTACGCGCGAACAGCCTTCACAGTTTATTGTTACGCCAATATTTAGAGAGTTTCGTAACATGGAATGATAATATAAAAACTTATATTCTATCCAACTAGGCTTGAACTGCGAATATATGACGACCCCGCATTTTTCGACTCTGATATTTCGGGGAAAAACCTCGTCATATATTCGGGTAAATACGGTACTTGTTGTTTCACATAAATTTTATTTTTTTTCTTGTTACCAATTTTAGGATGTGGCTGAGTCGGAGAGGGGTGTATTTTCCTCGACTCAATTTTGAATGATTTTATGGGGATTCTGGAGAAATATTGGTTATTGCAAGATGGTAAATGTTCTACAAAGCAAAAAAAGACTGAAGTCTGGTATAGCTGGATGGTAGAAATTCAATTTTTTAAATATTTTTTTTGACTCTTCATACTATTGTCTCAACTATATGTTATATCATGTAGAATATTTGTGTATTACTGGTGTATCCTCAGTGTTTGGATGTTACTCCTAATTTTCATATCTAAAATTCACAAATATAATGAATAAAACATTGCTATTTCTTAAAAATATTCAAGGTTAAGTTGAATAACTGAAGTGTCTTACAATAGATTATAGATCAAAATGCTCTCTTGAAATATATCACCACATTTTTATTATTATTTCAATGCATTGCCAGTTACTTACTGCTTCTCAACAATAGTTACTCCAGATATTCATGCTGATCTATTAATCTCTTGTATAAACGGAATATATTACTCTGTGTTTCAGAAAGTATAAAAAGCAGGGTTAATATTTTTGTGGGCAGTTTCTTTCATACCATTATTCTGTGAATAAGAATTATTTTAAATGATATTTCTGTTGTTTTAACTCATTAGAGCCTCAAATATTTGGTGGTTTGAAGTTGTTTTGTTATGACAAATTTATACTTTATAAAGATGCTATGATATGTGATATCGAAGCTCAACTTTATTGAAGAGATTTAATCAGATCTTTTATTGAAAAGCAGATGTATTATTATCTTTAAAAGTGGTATAGGTAGAGTACTTTAAAACAAATGATATGTGAACTACAATTCAGATATATAGTGTATGTTAATGTAATTATTTACTCTATATATTTTTTAATAGAATGCCAAATTTTTTGTAGGACATTATGATAAATTATTGGAAATAATCTGTCATAAACTATAAGGTATATATTTGATCTGGTTTGTTGTGTAAACATAAAACTATTATACTATTTTCTAAGATTTGTATTTCAAGCTTCAACTGAACTCGCCAGTTATGTCGGTTTTTAACTTGTATGCATTATCTGACAACCTAACTTTCCCATCTTTTAAAATGCCTTCTTTTTAGGTTGTAAAACAGTGTGTATTTCCAAGTAAGTAGTGTTACTTTTCACTGTACTAATAAGAAAAAAAAATATGTAGGCAGAAATATATGCATGTGTTTTAGTTCTAAAATGTTAATGTTCTAGAGCATAACTTTTGTTAAAGCCTGCCTTATTTGTATTTGAAATAAAACAATTATATAAAGCACAATTTTGGGTATTCATTTATCATAAGCTGCCCATATACTTGATCAGATCTGAAATAAAATAAACAGGACACTTTTAAACAATACTAATTTAAAATTGAATAGAGTTCTTTTGATGTACACTTCTGCCAAGAGAACACATCAAACTTTATATTTTTGAAAGTATGAAAGATGAAATTGTCTTGGTAAAGTCATGATCAGAACAGTGCTCTTGAAGCAGCTGGATTAATAATGAAACACTATTTCAAAACTCAAAATGAAGCATAAACTGTTTTTCATAAAGAGTCAACAAATTTCATAATGAGACCAAAACTACAAAATATTACGTTTATGACTAATTAGTGACCAACATTCAGTCATAAAAGATTAATTAGTGATTTTGGGTCCGTCAACTGCTAAGTTCGTTAGTCACATTAGTTTAGTGCATGTTTAAACACGGGAGATGGTGGTGGTCTTCCTCTACTGGCTGGCAAGAGGCTACACTAACCTATGTCGTTTTGCGGGGTTTTCCGCAACCATGTATCTTCCACCTGTGGGGGCACCGTCCCAGGCCGAACAAGCTCTAAGTTCCAATCTGGTATCCCAACAAGTGTGGTAGTGTAGTGCAGTTGAGTGTAAGTTAGGGGTGAGGATAGACAATGAAAAGGAGGAAAGATTGCACACAGTCTGTGGCCCATTTGTTAGGGTACTGGTCTAGAATTCACTTTGTGTTACTCAGATCTGTGCTATCTAGCTAATGTTAAAAATCTTGCCATAGTGTGATTCAAAACCTAAAGACTCTGCAATGACATCAGTTGATGCCCTGGCATACTGAAATCATATTAATACTCTGATCAGTCTGGAAGGAGGATTAGAAAACCAAATTGGGAATTGGGAAGACCTTGAAATACATCTCAAACTTGGCAGATCCCAGGAAATATGGAAGACTTGATCACCGTAACTATGATATATTTACCTGGACACAAATTGTAGAGTAATACATAGTGATAATAAAATTTGTTTGAACTGATTATGTGTAAAATCCCGAATAATGTTTTACAAGATATCACACATA